TTCCCTTCTAGCCCCACTTCCCAAAATCCTAATTTTAAAATGAAATAGTCTGGTTTTATCTTCCAACCATTTGTTCTTATTATGCCTTTGTCTACAAGATTAGTCTTGTAATGCCTGGTCTCTTCTCTTTTCTCTGTGACAATACTCTACTTGAGTGTTATATCAGAAAGATTGTAAGTGGAACAGTTAGTGTTTTGCTGCAAGAGACTTGGAGCTATATTTCTCCAGTCTTTCAATTACTTCTGGTTGCTCTCTATGCCCTCTCCTAAGTTTAAACATCCATATTAAAATATGGGTGCCAGAATGTGATGTAATGTTAAATATTACCAGCACTATAGCCAGGGGTAACGTCTGCTTCCTACCAGCTGTTCCCTAGTTTATCCAGCTCCATGACAGTGTCAAACTAGGACTGTAGTCACTGCATTCATCTTGGGTTCCTATAGAGGTAGAAGTCTACTGTTCCACTTTAAGTCCCTGTGAAATAAGTAGGATAAAATGTGCCAACGCATTTTTCTGGGACTCGTGCATCTAAGAACGGGGTTGCCAACCCAAAACAAACTTTTTAACTAACAACCTGCACACTTTTTACTGACAGCCAAACTTTTTTACTGATGTGTTTACATAATATAAATATACCCATTCTGCCAGGCCTTGGACAAGGGCAGGATTTAATTTCAGGGGTTTAATACCAGCCATGGTAAAAATGTTTGGCTCTCAGTAAAACATTTACAAAACTGTCAATTAAAAAAATGCCCACAAGACCCTTTTTAACTTCTGCTCTGTGAGATGTCACACGCACAGTGTTCTGACCCTTTGATATATGCTTTATTGATGAAGCACAGTACTAATTTTTATAAGGTCTACTGTCAGATGGGAACAGGTATTTTAAGGAGCTGGGTACCAAATCATTTTCTCTCAAGTCTTTTACATTTTTCTTGGAGACAGAAATGATTAGGGGCATCAGAACAATTTAAAGAAAGGACGTATCCACTGTAATGTACACCAAGGGCAATTTATTAGCAGTTACCAGCACCTTTTTCAAGCAGAGAGCCTGTATGAACCAGCTTGGCTCTGAGGTGGACTGATGCTAGGATCCATGTACTGGCACTTCTCCCCAGCATGTAGCTGCAACAGAGCTTGGGTAAAGCTCCCAGCTAAGCAGTGGCCTGGGAGGTAAAACCCTCTTTTCAGCATCCTTCCTCAGGCCTGCAGGCCATAGGTTACCATACCCTGTGGTAGAGGTAAGAGGCTCGCAACCCAGCCATGATCACAGGCAGCTGCTTCCCTCCACAGCACCAAGACCACCTGAGCCTGCCCCCATTGTGCACTTAGCTCCTTTCCTCCTTCCCCCCAATGCTGGTCCTTTTCCTCAGTAGCAGCGGGAAGGGCCAAATTCAGCAGTGATGGTGAGTGGCATGTGCAATAGGTGGTCAGGGGGATGTGCTGGGGTGCTGCCAGAGGTTGGAGGTTGCTGACCCCTATATACACTATATACTTCAAAGATTTACAAAGTCCAATAAAGGGTGCGGGTGTCAAAATCACAAACAGCTATTGCTTTGTTTTGTTATTGTCCTCTGCATGCCCCTTTAACAAACTTTCAAGAGAAAATTACACGTTTTGAATGTAGATCTAACTCTGTATGGGCATTGCTATGAAGTGGGATCTGGCATCTGATCTAATACACAGGACCTGGACCTCCCTACAGATCCAAATATTTGGCGGCAGGATAGTGGTGCCACTGCTCTCCCACTGCCAAATTTCTAGACCCAGTGGGAGCCCTGTGAATTGGATTTGGCTCATGAGCTAGGGGTTGATCATCCCTGTCCAAGGGAGAACAACACAATTCAGAATTCTTTAGAAGTGTTACAAATTACTGGCTGATAAGTTAGGATTGTAGGAAAGTAGGGCTACAAGTGACCTCACATGGTAATCTAGTCCATCACTCTGCTCAAGGCAGGATCATCCTGGACTAAAACTACCTTAGCCAAGTGTCTGTCTAACCTGCTCTTGAAAGTTTCCCACGATGGAGATTCCAGTTTTTCTATTCCTCCTGTTCCAATGCTTATGCACCTCCATAGTCAAGAAGTTGCTTCTAATATCCAACCTAAAATTTCCCCTGCTGCAGCTTAAGGCCATTGTTCCTAGTCCTGTCCCCTTTGGCCACAGACAAAAGCCCATCTCTATTCTCTCTATAAAGTCGCCCTTCAGGTATTTGAAGGGTTGCTTCTGTTTAATCAAGTAAGAGAGATGAAACTTTAAAAGGATCCAGAAAAGATGCTGCATATTCAGTATAGACTATGAAAAAAATAAAGTTATAAACATATTTGTAAAACATTATAGATCTGGATTATGCTGTGTGATGAATTTGGGTACAGGTACGAAATGTCTCCCAAGCCTAGTGAGTCCAGGTGATTCAAATCTCAGCAGTTTAGCCGCCTCCAGAAGTGCCAGTTATTATAAAAACAAAGCCAACCACAAAAGAAATACTAAATTAAAATTTATTTTATCAAAAGAAACTATAAGAAAAAGAGATACTGCTATTACAGACTTCACATATCAATTATGAAAAAAGTAGTGTTCCTGAGGTTACAAACTGCATATCCTAACAAGTACACAGTCCCAAATACACACAATGAAAATAACCAAGAAGTTGGTATAATTTTGAGAGTTTAAATAAATACACAATAGCTTTTTTCTTCTAGAAGATGCTGCAGCATTTTAGTTCTGCTACCTCAAAACAGCTGAAAAAACACATTGCATGTTACTAGTCAAGAAAAAGTGCCATTGACACAGCTGTACTGGTGGCCATGGTAAATGCTGACCAAGAAGCATAAAAGGCAGAAGGTGGCTGGTTTCAGCTCCTTAAGGAACTGACACTAACTTTTTTCTCCTTTTCTAATTTGGCAATTTTCCCTCCTGAACTCCTGAAAGGATGACAGGAGATTAAAAGTGACTTAGTATCCCATTAAACTAATTCACAGAAGAAAACCAAAATGCACTGCAAATTCAGACATTATTTATGGTTCTGAATCAGCAATGGGATGTATAGGTCTACTTAAAGTACTCTCCCATTATTTCACAGGATCAGAATTTGAGATCCTGCAGCAGAGGTAATACTCCAAGCCATTAGATTAAAGCAATGTGTTGGCAATAAACACTATCATCAGAAGAGACAGGACACTAAACTCAGATACTGAGAGCTGGCAGACCTTGATAAGCATGTATTTTTGATTTTCTGTCTAACCCTCTTATACTGCTACAGACTATCGTGTTCAGGGCCCAAAATTAAGGGAACAGAGCAGCCAAAATAGTGACTACAGCCCTCTGTGTGGCTTGTGCAAAGGGGTCCAACAGGGGCAACAGCCACAAGAACAATCGAAAGCATCTGCAAGAGGCCAGGGAATTGCCTCCTGAACGTCTGCTATCTGTTGAGGAGCAGGAGCTCGGATTTCCATCCCTGCACAACTTGCTGCTCACTTGGGATGTATTCAATAGGAAGTGGAATGATTCTAGATATGAACTATTTTCTACGTTTTCAAAAAGGGTTTACGCTCCACATTCCACTTAAGCTTTAGAAAAGCAATTATGAACGATGTACGACACCTTTAAAAATGATTAAATCCAGCACTTTTATCCAAGTATGGGTACAAAGTAGCACAGTAAAATGCCAGGTATGTTTAAAATTATGCAATCAGTGTCTCAGTCATTAAACAATATAAAGCATCTAATTTCAAAGTATATTTCTTTGTAGTCTACAAAACCCATACAGCACTGTGTACTGCTCTTTACCCCAAATCTGTATCCCAATGGCAAACGTGCTGTTGTGCATTAGCTTATGCGATTTCACTCCCCTACACAAAACCAGTTCTCTAGTAAAATAAGACTGTGCTTTTAAACTAACAAATGACTCAAACTGTCCTTCAAAACCTTTGTTGGAGTGGTAAACATGAACTTTAAGGCATAGTTTTAACAAAAGAAGAAAATCATTATATGTTACGATACTGGACCTCATTCACCTGAGCCAACAGCAGTGTACCTTATAAAGGTAAGTAGCTGACCTCATGGTATGTAGCAAGCATCCATTTATGGAGCAACAGAACTCTGCCCGACTCCTTAAAGATCTTGTACATCACTTTCAAGTACTATGCAAGTTCTGCAAGCTTATCCACAGGAAAAATAAAGCACTTAACCTTTGTCCCTGGAACTATGGACATAGTTTGTGGCTCCGCTCACGCAGTCTAACTCAACTGCTGTTCAGCATCTTTGAAGTCCAACACAATTTTAGTATTCGTTATCAACAGATCAACATAACTACTTTTGAATATCAATGGAAAAATATTCAAGAAGCTGAAGAACGATATGTTTCTCAGCTTTACATTCAAAATTCAAAGAACATATTACAAATGCCTACAGCAAATGGGCAATTTGCCCCTAGTCTAACTTCACTGAAGTTAAATTTGTTGCAACAGGAAGAAGTTTGGCCTAATGTTTTTAAATTCTGCTACTGGGTTAAAAACCATTCACAATATGTAAAAAAACAAACTGTAACAATCAATGACAGTTGTGCATAAAAGTCCATTCCCAGGATACTTCTCTATCTGTACCATATAATTTGGCATCTTTACACAAATGCATCAGATTACCAAAGAAATAATGGCTGAATTTTTACTTTTATTCCTGTTTATCATCTCTCAACTTGAATCAATAGTCTGTTTCCAAATGATTGAAGGAAAAAAAAAAAAAAAAAAAAAAAAAAAAAAAAAAAATCAGCATACGTAAATAATTTGATATTATGAGCTGTTTTTATAACTGCAGGAATTCAGCAAATACAGTGACTGTAAAAATTGGAAAAATGTTCACAGGAATGAACGTGTTATAATTCTATATGTAATTATCAGCCAACGCCATTCAGACATCATTTCCAAGATCCTGATCTTAGATCTAGAGTCTGCTGATACAAATCACTGTGCAAAGTTCTACAGACATTACTAATCTTGTCCTTTTTTTTTCCTACTCAAGTGTATTCCTATGAACCTTCATACCTGTGCAACATTTCATGGTAGTACCTCCTGGAGGAGGATCAGGGCTGAAGTTTTATTGCTATTTTTAAGCCTTTTAAAGGAAAGTGGAAACTGTTATGAGTTAACTAGTCAACTATGAGTTTTAGGACTTTTTTCCTGTCATCAGTCTTTCAGCTTCATTGAACACCATCACCTCAGCCCCTTACAGGATTAGAGCTGTACACATACACAATCAATATTCAAGTCTTAGTCCACATTAAGAATAGTTTTCTGAACAAACTCATTCATTGGCTCCTAAACAACAGGACAGTAGTTCCAGGCACATCTAGTTTTTAATCCAGGCTGTCAAGTGTTTCATGTTTTGGTGGTTGTAATATTAAATCTCCTTCTTTGGCTAATGCCCATTTCAAACCCAAATTTAATGCCTTCTTTCCACTGTACTGATTTACTTAGATGTAAAAATACTTCAATGGGTATATATGTAAACTAGAATAATCTTCTTGAAATCATTTAGAAAGGCAAAATAATTTATCTGCAACTTTGGATACTGAGCATTCAGTTAAGATACCCTCTACAACACACAGCCCCACACTTGCACACAGTTCTGGTCCTCTTTCTGGCTGGGCTGACAGCATCAGCGGAGTCCGAAATAGGATCTATAGAGCCTAAACACATAAGAAAACAATCAAAAAGGTTAAAGGTTGTTGGAAATTGAGAATTATTATTATTTCTTTAGCTGCAACACTGGAACTGTGCAAGAGAAAAAGGTATGGTTTCAGAAGCTTTACAATCTAGAAACCCAGTTATGCAAAACTCTCAAAAGTATGAAGCTAAACATGCACACAAATCCCACTTTCTCTATCCGATAGGCTGCTCTGTGCATGCATGTCCTCTCAAAAGCATCTGATGAAGTGAGCTCTGGCTCATGAAAACTTATACACCTCTGCTTCAGTTAGTCTATAACAGGGTGCTCAACCCATATGCTCCATAATATGGCTTATGGAGCCATATTATCTGGCTTTGGGACCTGGGGGGAGCCCCATAAATTTGGCAGTAAGGAGCCATGGCACTGTTAATTGCTGCTCCCCTGCTGCCACATTTCTGGACCCAAGTGGTGGTGGGGAAGTCCTGCGCACCAGATCATGCTGGTGTGCTCCTAGATCCAGTAGGCAGACAGACAGCCAAACCAACCCTGCACCACTCATCCAGCCTGTAAGACCAGAACCCTGGGCACCACCAGTCTATGAAGGTGCATTTCTACCATGCCTTCTACCACGACTAAGTAGTCTTTGTCAGTCACATGAAAGCAGTTATGATCTCTGTGAAAATACACCTAAAATCATATGGTATCTGTTATTATTGGTACTGGCCAAGTGCCCTAGTTGCAAGCCAGGATACCATTAGGCACACATACAAAAGAGGGTGTCTACTGCTAAGAGGGTACAACTGGAATTATAGGGCAAGGAACAGTAAATAGCTACAGACTGAGGAGCACCAAGAGACAGCTACCCAAGTTCTTTGTAGACATCATCACAAAAGGGAGTTTTAAAGTGAAGTTTAGAGGAGGACAAGGAGGTAGCTTTGTGGATATCTACAGGCAGCTTCTTCAAGCATGAAATGTCACATTGGAGTAAGCACAGAAATGCATGTCTGAAAGTGTAGTACTGAACATGAAGTCTGATCCACAGGTATGAGTTGATAGGTAGCAAAAATATAGGCCATGATGGGAAGCAAACTAAAGGACTGACAGTTAACGTAATGGGCAAGAAAAACAATCTTTTCAGCCACATGTACAAAATTTGCATTTTTTTCAGAAAAATAACTTTCAATTTTTAAATTAGAAGAATAGGTTCCAAGTGGAGGACACCATAATTACAAAGCTAGCCAGTGGCTTCTACTGTGCTCCAAAATTTCTCTATACAGTTTTACCATTGTTCTCTATATTTCTATTTTAAAACAAGTTACATTTGCTAGTAGCAATATATTTACTACAAGTTTTAAGTTTTTTCCTCATGAAACACAGGCTGTTCTGCAGTACTTCCATGTTTATACATAAAAGTTTCATGAAGTACCTTTAATTAATATTTATATTTTAATAAATAATATTGAATCAGTTGGTAAATACTAATCTAAGTATTTTGCTCCTTCAAGCTCAAAAGAACTATGCATATGAAGTATTGAGTTAAAGTACTTTAAGAGCTACACTTGCACACTGCATGTTACTGTAACAATGCAGAGACTTCAGTGGTGAACAGGAGCCAGTGACCACAGCTTGCCGTATAACTGCAGGGAGAACATACACACACAACAACAAAACAATCTTCCAATCTTATTAACGATCCCATGTGGATTTGATACCTGACAGAGCAAACAGAATCTTGTTCACTAATGCTTTGTCCAAAACACCATCAGACAGTACTAACCAATGATCAATTTAACTACCCTGACAAGGTGAAAATCTTGTATTTTGTAATCATTTTGGCGCAAGGACCATTTTTCCTTATGTGTTTGTTCAATACCTGGCACAATAGGCCTGGTCATGGACAAGGATTCCTCTTGAAAACTGAATACAAATTAATAAACAGTCATTTAGATTGGTCATTTATTTTGTTTTCTTCAGAAGTGACTGCTTCTGAAAATTACACTTTCAAAATAAGAATGTCGATAAAACAAACTGAACAAAAAACCTTAGGAATCGTACCCAGACCTTTGTTCATCTTTAGGCCTGACAGTCTAGCTAATGCTGCATAATAAGTTGCCTTCCAGGGTATCAGAGCTCAGTTTAAGATTAGAAAACTAAATGGATAGGGCATGCAATCCTGTCTGTACAGGAGGGGGAAAAATCAAGGGTCTGAGCCCAGTGAAAAGGGCTGTAGTTGCTTTTGCAGGGTTGGCCAGGCAGATAAGCAGCTGCAACCAGACTTCCTACCTGGAAATACCACATTTGCTTGAATCTGAGGTGATGCATTTTTTTCCCCCCCCAAACACGAGGGAAAAAAGCCTTCTCTTAGATTTGAGTACTAGCCCCAGGCAGGCAACGACTCAGCTCTAGCTTTAGCCCTGCCAAAGTGGCTTGTGCGGCAGAGGAGGGGATTTGCAGGGGTAGCACATGGGAGACCATGCTGGCTACATACCTTTCATCTGATAATCAAATGTGAGCTCCTCTCCAGCCTTGATAGGTCTTGTAGAAAACAGTGCTATCCGAGGAAGACGCAAATCAAGGTTATCGATGAAAACATTGAACACCTGAAGATTTGGATCACACTGTAAAGCAAAATAAGAGATTTATAATTCAGGTATCTGCCAGCAAAAGAAAAAATTCAGACTGGTGCATGGAATGGTAAATAAGAGTTATTGTATGCTACCAGTAAGAATGAGGTGTGCCAGTAAGAATTTAGGGGCCCAATCTTCTTCTCCTAGTGACAAAAAGTGAAAAGAACTCCATCTAAGTCAATTATATTACCATTGTGCAAACAACAGTATTATGAGAGAAAATAATAGAAAACAGTGAAGTAGGGCTGAAAGGGACCTCAAAAGGTCATCTGGTCTAACCCGCCGCCTGAGATAGGAAAGGTATCATGTCCTGTATGAGGATCAAACTTACAACTTCAGTGTTACTAGCACCACAATCTAACCAACTGAGCTTATCAGCCACCATGAAGACCCTGTTGTATGACATTGCAGCTGTGTGTACGACACATGTATAGACATCATTCTACTTAAAAAAAATATTCTGTTCTTAAGTCAGATCTTAACTTTGGTCCCAAGGTCAGAAATTACTAGCATAATATTGGTGTACTGGATGGACTTCCAATTCCTAGTTCAAAGACTGTTTGCCTTCTGTTGATATCTAGCAGCCCATGAGAAAGAAAGCAGGAATGTAAGTGTGATACCAATACAAGTAAACATTTCAGAAATCAATGGATTCAACTCCTAAATTACCTATGCAGTTTTGAAAGCTCTACTCCTGCCTTTTATCTTTGGATAGACTACCTGCTCCTTCATTTTCAAAAGCAGTTTGAAGTCATGCTCCTAGGTTTATATTCAGGCACTTAAATTCAGCCACCCTAGATCCAGAAGTGCAGAGTACCCAGAAATATTTATAAATGCCTCCTCTCCACAACAAACATGCAAAATGTGACACAAGATGTCAACTGTTTAGATATCTAGGAAAAAAACAAAATACGCTGTAGTAACAGCAGTTATGGAGTACTTTAAGAATTCATTACACTTCCATGCACAGGAGGATTCCGAGTTCAATTAGGTCTCCCTGATTTAGCTACTTTCAGTTTAAGAAAAAAAATATTTTAAAACATACTTTTAAGTTTTCCACGGACTGTAAAAACGAGGGTGAAAGCAACAAGACGGCATGGGAAAGACACCAAAGAAAGAAAAAAATATTCCTGTTTTCCATAATTTACAACTCACACAGAAGAACATGTCAAGGCAAACACTCCTCCTTTCTGTTTCAAAGTCAACAGTTCACACCTTATTTATGAACAGCCAAGGACTGCGTAGGTTTATTTCCCATATAATGTTACCCATTAACTAACTGATGAGAAAACTTTGTTTTCGTTGTCTAGAAATCAGTACCAAGCGCAAGCAAAAAAAGCAAATTATGATCCCAGTCCCTTGTACGCCATGCCAAGTCCCATTCATGTCCGTGAGTCTACTCATGCACAGGAATCTAAACATGAGTCAGGACCAGAAATCAAGTTATGGGGGGGAAGAGGGGGGCCCGCGCTGCAGTCGATATCACTGACCAGGGGCACCAACCGGGGGGGGGGGGG